CATTTATTCCTTGTTGAGTTAAAAAAAAAAATTAGTACAGCTGCTAAGTATTCCCCCTTGCTGAACTGAATGGAGCTTATCACCCATGTGCTACTCTTTAGAGCAATGAGCCCATGAACATCTGAACACAAAATGCCTGTTCCCAAACTGTTGTATTTTTGTGACATGTAAAAATATACAATCAGACTAGTATGACTAGATGCACCGGTAATTGAAGCGATGATTTTCAATTACTTAGGTCAGGCGGAGTTCACGCACTAACCCATTTCAGGTATTTTTGGATTGAAATGCCACGATACTAAGGTATATTTATTTTAATGCGATGAGAATAAACTCAAGACTTACTTTACTAACGTTACAATAATATCCCAGCAACTTCTTCAACTGTCAATATATGAACAACTCATGCAGAGTCTGAAAATAACCCTGTCCATGCCAAATGTATTGCTAACACCACACTACATAGTCACCATACATGCTTTTCTGTGTCTCACACACACAGAGGAATTTTTGTCAGCTTTTTTCAAGATGCCCAAATTTTTATTTAAGACTTTTCACTAGTGTTCTTTCTGATTTATAGATGAGGAAAGCACTCTAAGAAGCAAAATGAAACACAGGCAACCGACTCCTAAAGAACAAGTGCCTTTAGCACCTGTCATGATGGCTTCCTTCAAAGTACTGTCACTCTGTGAGCATCACTGTGCTTCCATTCAGTGCCACACTTCTGGAAATAACTCTTCAAAACACGACATTCAAAAAATCCTGATGCTAACCAAGCACAAACTTTGGTTTGTTTGGGGCATGCTACTTAATTTTAATGTTAATTTATTCCACTGTGAGGCTTAAACCACCAGTGGACATTTTGTAAAAATGAAACCATGAGCTGTCTCCATGAAAATAACGCATGTGACAAGTCACTGGGTTGAGAGAACCTACGTGCATTACACGATAAAAATAAGTGCAAAGCCACATGTACACACCAAATCTACATTTTTATACTGAAAAATGTTTATCAAGAAGGTATTTTGTTCTTCCCCCTATATTATAACCATACACACCCAAAGGCAGAATCTTCTCCCATGTTCATTTTAAACTTCTTAACTGATGGAAGACCAGGTCCAAGGCAAAACCCCAAGCTTGAACTGCATGATAAGAAGTTAAACTTCAGCCTAACTCAGTAGTATTATATTTTCCTAGTCTTTTGGATATGTGCCGACAACACAAGCTTTAAACCTTCTCATCCTTTTCCCTAAATAAAGCAATCTGGGGCAGGTTAGCTTTAGTGGAAACTCAAACAATGAATTCCCAGAGCAAAGGCAGCAGACCATCCCCCTTATGAGGACATGAGAACACAGTCCTAAGTTCCAGTACAATCATCCTTCATGCTCAGTGTGCTGTAGTTTCCCCACCAGTACAATGGTACCAACAGGACTTCAGAGTGCTCCAGTTCACTATCTGCTCATACCCTGGAGTTATCTTGTTTGTTAGAAGTAACCTTTGAATTTTTAATACAATTAATTTGTAATATTTATTTAGTTATTTATTTAAAACACATCTTCCTGGAACAGTTTAAGAACTTTATTATGAGGCTTTTACAAGGAAAAAACAGCTAGTATTAAAGAGAAATAAGGAGCTATGACTTCACTAATAGTTACATGATCCTTTAACTACAAACTTTGACCTGGCTCTAGCAGCGTGGCCTTTATCAGCAGCAAGTCCCAGAAGTTGTCATTTAAAACAGTACTTGCCTTTCTAACTAGGGCTCAATCAATGAAACAAATTTAATTAATATTTTACATACAGTATATTATTACAATTGTGAATGAATGTATTGTTTGGAAAGTCTGAAGGAAAAGCTGGAAAGTCAAAGAATATCCTGCCCGAGGCTTCCATAGAGACAGACACAATAGTTATGACACTCCCATGGTATGTATGCCACAGATTTCTGCTTTGAGCACAGAATTCACAGGCATTAGAAAAGGTTTTTCAAATTTGAAATCTTTTATGATTCAAAATACTCCTGTTTTCTGGCTTGGCTATATACCTAAGGAGAAGGAAAAAGAGACAAGTAGTTTTAAATAAGGGCTAAGAAAGAGTGATCTGCACCCTGCAGCCCTTGGAGCTGCTATTTATCCTCCAGGCCCAATTCTTTGGAACTTACTGAAGGCTCTGGCACAGAGGCAGGGAGCCTCTCTGCCACTAGAGTAAAAGCAGAATGTCCCCTTGTCCCACAACTCACCTGAAACAAGACCCCTTGAAACAGCAAAGGAAAAAGCTCTTCCAGGACAGAGGCAGTCCCAGGGATTGCAAACAGGCATGGCACAACACAGGGAAACAGCTCTATGGAAAAACAGAGCCCCTTGATTTCTACTTGGCATACTGCACTCGCCTACAGGTGCTACTAGGGCTTCCTCAGCATTTCCCACATTTTCTGTGTGATTCTATGCTCTTTTTCCAGAAAGCTTTTGGGAAATCAATGCATTTGTCCTTGTGAGCAGAGTGGAATTGTGGAAAAGCAACAGATGGTCAGATGATGACCATACAAAGTTGTTCAGCCGGTAACACTCATGGCTTACCATCCCAAGCTGCCCTACCTACTCAAAAACTGGGTCATGAAAAGTGGGAAGGCTGATGAGTCCCTTTTAAGAGACTGAAGTTAGCTTCTGTTTGCAGTAAAAATATTGCCTTAGAGAGAAAACGCAGAGCATGTAGCTTTGGAGGGAGAGGGACCATAGGGACTAAACTGGAAGAAGTAATGGTGGATCAGTACCCTGGCATCCTGCAACCTGATTCTTCAACCTCTTTATGGGAAAGAAAAATAGAAACCTTAACACAGTGGAAGGAAAAATACATAAATCATATGGCACTTAAGGAGATCCAAAATGGTTATGGAGAGCTATTCAGATGTTTACATGTGATTAGGGATGAGTCAGCACTGAGAGCTAGTTAACTCCTTGCAACAAAAAGGTGAGCTCCACATCTGCTCAGCAGCATTATCCCAGTGCCACTGCTGCATGCTGGCAGGATGGCATCAGGCACCACAACTTTCAGCCCTTACGAATGACCAGCAGAGACTAAGATAGAGTACTGAGAGGAGAAATTTGAGTCCCACCAACGTGGCAGCAAACCTGTGGCACCTACCAGGTCCTTTCCTACCTGAGAAACAATCCACTCCTTCCTGCACCATCAGTGGCCAAGTTTACTGTGGCAATTCTTGAGGTCAGGCAACTTTGATTGGTATGAATTCTGAGGGCCGCTGCTCACATTTTCAAGCCTGTTTTTGTAACCAAAAGAGCCTGAAACAGTTTTCTGAAGCAAAAACTTACCTAATGGTACAGTTTTGGCAGTCAAAGCCTTAGGGACATTCCTATTGTTCCTATGCCTTAATGCAGGCTGCTGAAGCCCTGCTGAGCCAAACCAAGCAAGCTCAGCATGATCAGTCTGAACACCTGCACAGTTCACCGAGCGGAAACGGATGGCTCTCAGCAGAGCACCTTTCCAACCCCAGAGCAAGGCAGGGGAGAAGGAAAATCCTGGCTGAGAAGGAAGAACACAGACTAGCTGAACATAAGCTAGTTGATATGAAATGGGAGTGATTGACATAGTAATTGTAAGAGAAAAATCAAAATTAAACTGAAAGTAGGTCCAAGATTATATTAACTGATGAAAGATGCTGTTTTTTTTGACCAGGAGAGAAATGAGGACTCTTATTGCACTGTTGTTCAGGATGTTGTTCCTCAGTTGTTTCCTGAGCAGACCTGAACTGTACTTGTTGCATGAAGGACATGTAACAGGAATGGTCAACAAGATGATAACAGTGAAGAGTCTCCAAAACAGTAATGAAAAACCTAAGATTGTGAATACTTTAGAGTACAAACAAGCCCATGTTCTTTGCACCAATCAGTAACAAACCGTACTGGAAACAGGACAGAGTCCTTCAAAGTTCAAAATATCAAGGGTAATCCTTCTCTTGTACCTTGATGAGAGGAAAAAGAAAAACAGTCCCAGAAAGCTTATGGTATCCAGCAAGTGACAGAACTCTTGGTGCACTTAACAGCACCACCACCATATTGTGAGAGCAGTGCCCCTTCCCAGTGTTCTAGTGCTGCAGCACTGCCCATCTTCCTGTCCTGATGATGCACAGTGACACCATTAAGTTCCCACTTGGTACTGTAGAAACAGTCTTGCCTACCACTGTCAGCTGTGCTGGAGGAGAAAAATTAAACCCTATAAGGATAGAGCTAAAAATAATCAAGTTTAGTTCTGCAATTAGAGTTGAATACAGTAAAAGCTGCAACTTTCATAAAGACGACTCATGATTAGACATGATGTCACACATTAAAAATTTAATCCAAACAACTTGTCTGTTTCACTACAAATAGCAAACTTGAATGTCCTGGCAAACTGTAAGGACATGATTTACAAATACTAGGTAATATTTGGATCTTAGATTATAAGCAGTGCTCCAGTCTTTCTGAGAAATAAAAATGATTTCATTCTGGGCTTAACTTGGTCATTTCAACAGACCAAACTTCATCAGAGACATAAGCTGTAACTGTACATATTGAGCCCAATACATACAAAGTTTTGTTTTGGTCACAGACCACACAACTAGTGTCCACCCTTAATATTTCTTGTTGCTTTGAAGCTTTTTGCATTATGGTACTATTAGACTTCCAGTCAGGACTGGCAGTCTTGTAACCTCACAGCTTTAGAACTAAAATGGCTGTTAGTATTAACCACATGATGTGCAGATTCTGAAAAAGCAGTTTTGCTTTCTTTTCCTTGAATTCACATAACAAGTAATTGGCTACTTTTTCCAAACTGCTTTGCCCTACCACCTAACTGTTCCCCAGAGCCCTACAATGAAACTTGATCTACTGTTAACTTGTTTTTTTTAATGTAAGTTTGAAAAACTTCCAAATGAATGCCATTAACTCCATGTTTTGTGTGACAAGTAGCTATGACAGAGAGCAGGCCAGAGGATTGTGTATACTTACGAAGAAAACTCTTCGGATTCCATGTGCCAGTCTTTCTGTTTTTAGCTTCCAGACCAAAGGCAAAGGAGAGTTGAGAAGAAACACCAAAGGCTTCTGGTGAATATGCACCGATGAAATTGGATTCAAATGTAATGTGACCTACAGAGAAACACAGAAATATGTGAATACTTCCTGGAATTCAAAACAGTGAATCAAAAGTAATTTTTATATATATTATGACTTTTAGCATTCAGACCTCTTGACTCAAGATTACAGACTAATCTACTTCCACAAAAATCAGTCAACAGGGGAGAGAGAATATAAAATATGAAATAGTTAATGTTTGTGCTCTATGCTTGCAAAGCACTGTAAAGTGTTTAAGAAAACCTTGGCAAATGCTGATGAAAAATAGCTTATGCAAAAGGTCAAACCACTAAGCTGAGAGTTGGAGAACAAGGAGATAAAAAAGAACTGCAAAGCAAACTCTGATTTCTGGTTTCTAGATGGTAGCCTGGAAAGCTGGCTTAGAATACAAAACCTGATCTGCTGATTCTATTAGGGGCATAAATCTAGCCTGCAAAACAAATAAAACTAAACAAACAAAAAAGAGGAGGAACAAATCCAGAAACACAAGGAAGCACTACACTAGTTTATGGAAGAAATTCCAAAAGAAATTTTAACATACAATAGGGAAAGAAAATGCCTGTCTTCAGGGACTAAAATGATACATAGGGTAAAGAAAGTGGGCATCACAAGAGTGAGGCAACCTGTTACAGGTGGCTCTGAAGCAACCAGTTTGTGATTGCTGGAAGCCCCTCCTGCTCAGCTTGCTCAACTTGCACTTGATATCATAGTGTTTTTACAGCATCTAATAAGCTGTTCAAGCAGTGATTATTTAGCTTAATAGGTCATCCCATATTACAGGGAGTAACATTTAGTGTGCAAGGGAGAGATGATCTACCACTGACTGAGCAGAGAAGCTGATGTCCCACAATAATGGGTGACAGGCAGATTCCCTGACAGACAACCACAGCTCTTTCTGAAGAAGGTATAGAGGGAGCAAACACTAACACAACCACCAATTTGAGTGGTGGCAAACAAATGAGCATACAGGTAATTTAGAATTAATTATGTAGCCTGCTAAAGAATTTGAAAGCAGACCTGAGACCGTGTATAGTCTATTGTATGATTATTATATAATGGCAAGCAGCTATCTGTTTACCATTAAACATAGATTCATTTGGCAAACTAACCTGATGAAAGATAGCCACCAAACTGAAAATTAGGCAGCCATTACTGTTGAAAATATTTCCAAAAGAACAAGTTAGGGTGGAGGTTTTTTTATTTTTTATTTTCTTTATTCCCCCTTGAAAAGTTCACCATCACTGTGAGGCAAATGCCAAGACCTGGTCTCAGGCCTGACAGACGCCTGGAGGTGTCCACTACTCAAGAACTTGCAAAAAAGCTGGCAAGCAGCTGGCTGTGCTCTCATGCCAATGAGAAAGCAGTTCCTTACATTTGCAGAATGACTGACTGAGTTGCTCGTCCTCACAGTGGCACAGATATCAAATCCCACAGGCACACCTCTGGGGTACCAAGGACATCCCTGTCCTCCTCCTCTTCCTAAAGCTGACTAAAATTTGTTGGAAAACTGAATAAACCCGTATTTGTACTAAATCCAAGATGCTTTAAAGAACGAGCACCTCTCCCCATGAGCAGCTGAGCAGTGACAGCGGTGCCTGCAGGAAGGCCAGGCACTGCCACCTTCTGCCCACCACTGCCACCTTTGTCACCACTTGGCCCCTCCAGCGGAAGACCCAGTGGTATTTATGCATTTCCAAAAGAAAACACTAAGTACCACAGATTACCACAAACCACATTTCTCTTCATTTTCTGTCTCTAAAGAATACAATACCTCATTTTTGGAAACTGGAGGGTGTTAGCGCTCTCAATTCTAGTGGGAGAACAGAGACTTAAAATGCCAAACAGGCATGTTTTTAGCTATAGAAACTGTTTTACAGTATCAGCTATAGAGCCAAAGGAATTATGTTCGCTGAAAGTAAGAGAGAAAGTGAAATTATTTGTTTTATAGGGCTCCTGTTTTGTTGTTCTGTCTAGAAATGGCAAGGTGAAAGTAGAAAAGGTGTTTAGAACTGCTATTAAATTCACGACTATTAAAAAGCTTTTGTTAATTCTTGTGGGTTTTCAGCTGTAATCACTGCTAATTATTAATAAGCTGTTTAAACTATTAAATATAATTACCTTGTTCTGGATTTATGTTTTCTTACAAAGCAATAAAAATACTGTAATCTCAGTCGCCCAGCTATATCTTCTGTGTCCTTATATCTTGCTAATAAGAGTTCAGATTTTATTCTGATATTTTTTTCAGCTTCCAATGGCATAAAGTGCAGTCAACACACTTTCACGTGCAACAATAACTGGTTTCTTTTGATCCTAAAGGAAGCAAAGACTAATGCAAATATTGACGAAATGAGTTCTAGTATAGCTTATGAGCTTAAATAACCATGAATAGAAACCCTTGTGCACTGGCCAACAGGAGCACTGACCCTGGGCTTGCACCCTGGTTGTGTTTCTGTCAGAATGCCAAGTCAATGCAAAGAAATGGCTCCTATTAGAAACTTAACAAAAAAACCCTTGCTATTTAAATCCTCTGGTATTTATTAAAAGCAGGAATGATACATTAAATATAACACACTCTGAAAACACCATCTCAGAAACAGCTAGGCCAAGTACTTTGGGTAGTAAGGAAATGGAGAAGTATCTCTGTTTCAACTGATCTCAGACAAGTTTATTCAAAGCCAATATCTATCAGACAAGACAGATGTTTTAGACTTTATGAAGATTTCTTCCTGTTGGTTTGGTCACATGGGTGAGCATACAGAGCAATCACACTACCTTTGAGAAAAAATCAGAGATTCTTCTGCGACTGGAGCTACTCATCAGACTTCGTAGTTTCTACTCTTTTAGGTTTTTGAAATTAAATATGTATACAACACACATATATATGATTATTTCCATATAAGCACAGAAATAATCAATGAAGTTTGAGACATATTCAGAAGTGGTGATACATCTATCCATGCCTTTGGTTGAAACTGTAGGGTAAGTTACATCACGTAATGGAATTTTCCTACATTTCTGCCTGAAAAGTGCAGATCAAGAAGAGGTAGTCATCCAGTCACCTAGTCCATTTAAAAACCAGCTGCTATTGCTCTGCCCGTGTTATTTTAAAAACATATTAAGGAGACAGCACATGAACCAAGCAGACATCAGCACAACAACAGTGCAGGAAAACAAGTCAATGTGGTCCAACACATCCCTCATTCCCAATGAAGGGCTCATTTGATCACTGAGCTGTTGCACAGCCAACATTTTCATTATGCAATCAATAGCTAGGCCAGACCTTCTGGACATGTGTGTCAGCAATGATCCTCTCAGCAAGGCTCAACTTCAGCAGCTGTTTGTCAGAGGAAGTTCCTCTTCCAGACTCACGTCTGCCTTTTTGGTTCCCTTTTGGCACACACTCCTCCAAATAACACAGGACCAGCTTGTGAGGAATACAACAATTTCGACACAGGTGAAAAGTATAGATTAAAACTATTCTGAAAATCTCAAAACAAAACCTACAAATTCATTTGGGACATGAAGAAGTCATGCCATTTTTGCTAGAATGCATTTTTTCATACATGTTAAAAAAACTGGAAAAAAAAAAGTCCTAGCATTACCCCATTCAGAGGTGCCGTGTCTATCATATCTGTGCTGGCATTACTCAGCCAGCTGCATCTGTCTGTACCCACGCTGGTCACTGCCGGCTGCACAGAGTTCCTTTAAGGTCTCCAGCAGCTGCAAGGTTAAGGCGGCTGCAGAGGGTTCTGTCCCCAGAGATCCCAGTTTCACGGAGGGCTGAGTATCACCACAGAAACCAACTACAAAAACAGTCTACGGGCTCCTGCCCCATTACTCTGCTAAAGCAATTTGTACTACGTCAAAGGCAAGGACACAAACGCTGAAAACTGATCAAAGTAAATGCTGCTGTTAAAGTACCATTTTGTTTTGCTGACTTCAGGCATCAAATCACAGGCTCTGTGTTTTGTTCTAAAAAGATGAAAGTTAAGTGCCAAGGATTTGTAAGGTTGAATTAACTATTCCATCATGAAGACCTTCAGATAAATTCATAGCACATTTTCCAAAACAGCCATTACAAATTTGTGCTAATAAGCCAGGACAAAATACGCTGTGTTGTATTGAATTACACTGCCTAGGCTTGGACAGCTGTGCTCTAAAAAAGAAGAAAAAGAAAAGAATTTTAACTCTCAGATCACATAAGCACATTTTCTGACTTATAAGTGATGCACTAAAGATAGATTTATGACATCTTAACTCACTACTCTGCCGCAAAGATTAAATTAACTCATTCAAAGCAGGCAAAATTTAAAGCAGAAATCTGAAAATTTGTACCTATCCTTGCCCTAGGTGTTCTCACTCTTTTTGTTAGACAATATTTATAGGACATAATTTATCTTGGTATTACAACAGTCAAAGAAATTAATATGAAGAAACATAGCTTAGTTCACTTGTGTCTATTAATCAATATAGGAAGTTTAGAATTTCCCCTGAAATTCACTTGAAACAATACGATGTTGATACATTGGCCATAACAGAATTCAGTCAAGGATTAATCCATAAATCCACCTCAAGTGGTGGGATCTAGTACTGCACCACTTTTCAGAAGTTTATCAGTTACTCTGGGAAGGATCCTCTGGCCATTTTTTTTTATTTTTAAGATAAAAGCAAAGAAAAAAGATTTTCTTTAGACAGAAACCATGAATCCAAAATGGAACACTGGTTTTTTTTCCTCACCCTCATATTTTTGCTGTGCTCACTGAATATTGTGTTGCAGAGGTGATAGCAAGCCAGCTATAGTAGATCACAATGCCAAGCTTTCAGGAGCCAACAGTTGCCAAGAGAGAGATCACTGATTTTTCCCAGAAACGTAAAATATGTTCAAATGGTGTTACTGCTTGAAGGTAGTTTTGATCAAAGGGTTATAGATTTGCACTCTTAAATTAAGTGAGTGTATAAGCACTTTCCTATAAGCACAAGAGACTTCACTGCTTCCCTTCTGGGAAGGTTCTCCA